GTGCCCTAAAGGCTTTTTTATTTCGAGCACAAAAGAGTCTGATTGAAACCTTCAGGGATAAAAAAACCACACTCTTTAATGCAGCTACAAATAACAAGTCACAGTTTACACTGTGCCCGAGTACAATGTGCTGTGATCTGGGTGACAACAAAGCTCTCGGTGAAACCACACCAAGGGTTCGAAATGTGAACAATCCCAAGCCTGACTTTTTCATCAGCTATCAAAGGAAATTCTGCTCCTGTGCCACAAGCTGGATGTTTGATTGACCTTCCTCCGCTTTGATCACAGATTGAAATCTTTCACAACTTACTTAACTCTATTCCACTGGGATAACAATGCTCCAAGGTTTCGTTCCAGTGCTGTTCATCTGGTGTTGTAATTTCAAAGTAGGACAATAAAATGCTAGAACTCCATAAAGACAGGAAAAATAGGCAAAAAAGGGAATTCATCAGTATTTCACATCAGAAGCTGTTACCAGGAATCCAGCTCTCCAGGTATATAAGAATTCCTGCCTAGACATCCACACGTTCCTTTTTTCTCCTTAACATTCCAAACTGATTCAAACTGCCCCAGAGGCATCTCTGGGCTCCACTCCCTTAAGCTAATGGTACTTTAGCATGCAGTAAAGATCAGCCAGGGGTGCCTGGCTTGATTAATTCTTTCTTAGCCACCCTCCAGAATTCCAAAGGTTCCTAAAAACCTCTGCATTTCTTAAAGCAAAAGTTAAGGCTAACAAACGAGCAATGAAATAGAGCACAGAGAAACAATAAACTCTCATCCAATGTGAGCCACAAAGCTGTACAACACAACAAAGTACAAAGATGATTTTTCAAACAATAATCAATATTTATTTGGTTACAACAAGTGCATGTAACACAAGAAGAGAAACCCATATCAGTGACCCACATGTGGTACATGAGAACGCAGACAGTTCCTGGACTTATGTTTCGGCCCATTCTGACTAGTACTGTGAGAAACTCCCCCCCCCCCCCAAATTTGTATTGAAATTAATTTTAATCAAAGGTATTTTAACTTTTAAATCAGAAATCAAAAGCAGTTTCCTTCAGTCAGCTCTGCATACAGCAGATGAGGCAGAGATTCAGCAATATGTGTATGAATACAATATGCTCTGACAGCTGGACACAAACTATTGTAGAAAAGAGAAAGACAAAGTTGTGGTATCTCTTTTAAAACTGCATCCATTCTCCTCAAAATCTTTATGTACCATGTACAAAAAAATTCCACACCAAACTGAGTACCTTTAACTTCCTCTTGGCAAAGCTAACCATTGTGCAAAATGTATTCCCTAACATCCAGTGCAAGGATAAATTATTGGCTCCAATGAAGCACCAACTAAAAATAACCTATTAGCTGGTTTGCCCAAAGAAAGGGGCTCTGTGTACCATGGAATCACTGGGACTGGAAGCTTCCTAAGAATTGCTTCTATAAACAGTGTCAGTTGCAACAGGGTAAACAGGAAAAGCCAAACTTAGACTTACAAAAAGCATGCAATGTACTATTCTGAAGTGTGGAAGTCACTCTTTAAGGGAGCAAATCATCCCAAAATCTGGAAGGTTGGATTTTTAATCAGAAAACAAGGATGTAAACTAACCACCTCGTTTTCTAATTAATATTAAAATTCTCGTTCTCTTGATCATACTTGGCCAAACCAACTCAAAACACTTGACTAAAGCCTTTGAGACTTCTGGCCACGGGGTGTAACCGAGCGGAACAATGGCACCAGAGCTCAGTCTCAAACGGAGTAAGACACATTATCGAACCAAGAAGCTGCTCAGAACAGCTCTGCTGGAGTGGGAATCAGACACCACCTGCTTGTACAGACAAACCAAGAAAACATGCAAAGATCAGGAAAACTGAACCTCTTCTATGATGTCTTATCTGAAATACAACCCCAGCAACGACCCACGCAGGATCCATAACCAGCAGTTCCCCAGATGACCTCGGTGTTACCCAGGAGTAACTCACATGTACTTCTTTCTGCCAAACCTGTGTGTTCCAGGTTTCTGACAAGCATATGAACAATGTCAATCTTGATCACACATCATGAATGTCAAACTCTCAGAGCCCTTCAGCTGCAGGTTATTTGGCAACTGTGTCGCCCAAATGGCAAGATGTTTAAATCTTCCCTTCTGATTTTAAATTAGTTTGAAGTGGTTAACTTCAGAAGTGCTGCATGTCTGTTTGACTACACCAGAGTGATACAACACCCCCCACACGCATCCTGGGCTTCATTTTCCATCAGCAGAATGTCAAGGAATTTCATACCTCGTATGATCACAATATATAATGAATCAGGGAAAAAGAACATGGGGTAAAGGGAAAACCTCAGGGTATCCTTTAACTTCTACAACAGGATGAACTATGCAGAAGAACAGATGAAAACTTTAATGTATGCAGTGACTTGGAGAGTAATACTGCCTTTAGAAATGGCTCATCCAAATTTTAAACGTGTTTGACATCCTCTTTGCATCTGTCCAGCTCCATTAGGTCTTTTTTTCCTCCAGAAAAGCAAAATACACCTGAACACTGCTCCTGGAGCCAGTTCCATACTGCAGTGCTTCAGAAGAGAACACAAGAAAACCCAGTGAGAGCAGCCAGGATTAAAAACACACCTCATGTTTTTTGAAGCCAAGAGTGACTGAACACTTAAAATTCCTGAAACTAGTGTGTTTCTATTTCAAATCAGACACATGAAAACTGTGTTGGGTTTGGTTGTTTTGTTTGGTTAAATACAACCTTTTTCACTGTGCTCCTGCCTACTCCCCCTCTTTTTTTTAATAGAATCCAGAACTTACAAAATGACTCAACATCCTCAAATTGTTTTGGAAAAAAAAAAAAGTGAAACACACCTACAAAGCCAGCACCAACCTAGGCTGTGCTTTTAGATCTCCCTCATCTTCTTACCACTCACTTTTCACCACACACTGAAAATTCTCCTTACACTTTATGTCCTATTGTATTCGGTAATGATCACTTAAAAGTGAATCGTGTATCAGAAGGTCTTTTTCAAGTGATTAAAATAAATTGATATCTGTGAATCTGAATAAGATGAAAGAAAAATATGTCCCTTAACTCTCTGTTTCTGTCAAAATTCTCTTACCAGGCCACAAACCACATCCCCAGCTGGTGTGAGAGCTACAGACCAAGTGGGCAGTCTTCTCTTTGACATGGGCATGTCACTTTGCTTCCACAGAGATGAGATAATTAAAGATCAGCTGAATGGAATTTGAGTAATAATGAGAAGACTGGAAAATAGGGAGCTCAAATACATGCTGGAAGGACCTCCTGAGCCACGGCACCCCTCAGTGAGCTATCATCTACCCCTTTTCTAAATGTACTGAACTTTATTTTAAGCCCAGTTGGTCTTCTGCCTCCACCATGCCTGTCCCCAAACTCTGCTTCTCCGCTGGCTGAGCAATCCCTAATTTCTAGCCCAAATTTATGACTACCTAATACTCATTTGTCTTTACACCAAGTTGTGCTTCAGTTTTTAAGGAAAACCTAAAATCCTCCCACCCAGAGCAGGATGATGAGTAGAGGGCAGCCCTATCATTATTCCAGCTTCTCATGACAGAAGATGAAACTGCTGATTTTACCTGTCATGAGTCACAGATCTGAACCCATGGAACATCCATCATCCAGAGCTGTGATTGATCCCTGCTCTCGCCGGTCCTGGTGCCAGCTGAGGGCACTCTGCTCACTGCACCCAAGCCCAGTGAGTGAACTGAGGCAGATCCATGCCTATTCCATCACAACAGAGGGACTGGGAACCCCAGAGCCTGGTCTGAACCATCAGAATCTGATTTAACTGGAGATCATTCCGTACGGAGCTACCGCAAAGGGAGCAGCACTGTATCAGCCATTGCCCCAGACTTAAACTGCAGAACAAGGTACAAAAACTTTAGTTTAAAAGAAGATTTTTAGAAACATTTTCTAGAAAGATTTTTAACACTAATCCCACTGTTCAGACATGAAAAGTGAAAGAAGACACGAAGACTGACAGGACAGGACTGTGCCACTTGGATGGGGCTTGGAGCAACCTGGTCCAGTGGGAGATGTCCCTGCCCATGGCAGTGGGGAGGAATGAGATGAGCTTTAAGGTCCCTTTCAACCCAAACCACTCTCTGATTCTATGATTCATTCTCTGGTTCTATGACCATTAAAGTTATCTACCTTTTGCCACTGAGGAAGCTAAAAGAAAATAGAGTAATAGGTATCTTAAGTGAACTTTTCAACTGGTCACTTTCCTCCATATAGATGAAAATAAACCTTTTCTGATGGAAATGAACATGCAGTACTCAGAAAGCTGCTGCTTGCTCTGTTCTATGTCACAAATGATATCCCCAACCTTTGAGAGGATTATTAAACTAGAGCATTTCTCTTTCTTTATGCACTAGAGAACCAAGCTGCAATGAAGGAAACACAACAAGTATGCTGAAAAACAAGCTGCCCACACCTAATGGTCTCCAACAGATCACCAGTAGAAAAATATTGGTTTCCAGGTGCAAGTATAACAAAACCATCAATAGCTGCTCCTTACTTACAAGTCTAAAATTAAACTGCAGCAAGTAAAGATCATGCAATCTACAACATCCCAACTGTTTCCACAGACACAGGAGCAACACTCAGGTCTTTCAACACCAATCAAGTTTGGAGTCTGAATCTTCGCAGCAATACCTTTACCATGAGGACTCAAATACTTTGTATTTTGTTTGTAAGCACCATTATGCAAACAAGTGAAACAGAAATGTGAGGACAAGTGCTACAGACTGTCTTCTTCCACCGCTTCAGCAGTTAGCATTAAAGTTGGCTCAGTATCAGACACATTTCTAAATTTTATGGAAAGAGGGATTAGCAGGACTTAAAACTGGATATAAACATATCAGCAGTAATAAACGAGACAGCGACATGTATTTTCTTCTCGCTAAAAATTTCCCTTGGAGTGTCAGCAAACAAAAACCATAAGAACAGCAACTTACGGGAGAGCGAGTGTGCGCCTTTGGGGAGGTACTCGAACAGCAGGGAGCTGTCCTCGCCCAGCATGTCAGCCTTCAGGGACAGCAAACTGTTCTTACTCATGAGAGCCGCTCGCAGGTTGGCAACGGTGGCAGCCTGGAGAGCATCTTCCTTCTCTGGGGTCAGGGGCTGATGGATGTAGCTGCCTTCCCCCCCCAGGAGCGTTTCCTCCACGCTGGCGTAGGGGTCCGACCGCTCCACCCTGCTGTCAGAGCTGCTGGGCTCTGTCCCCGACACATCAGCACCTGCAGGGTGGGAGAGGCAGTCAGAAACACAGGAACACTCCCGACACGTGGGACCTGTCACAGCGTGGATCTGAACAACACCACCAGGAACGCAGCAACATTTATTCTGGCCTTACTCTCCGTGTGAGAGTGTTGTTCTTCATCCCCTCCTTTCCCAAAAGCCTGAAGATGGACTTGGCTGTTCAGAGGTTTGATGGAAAGTGCACCTGCCCCACAGCTGGAGGTTCTGCTCTTCCAGCCCCTTCCTGCTCCCTCCACTTGTGCCCCATCAGTGGAGCTTACCTGCAGTCCCATGTGCTGTGAAGGCAGAGGGAGAAGTGTTCTGCCTCCTCCACATCCAATACCTGCATCAAACTATTTATTTCTCTTAAACTAAGATTTCAGGATACTCTGCTAGCACTGAAATGACATTCATATGCTTACATTCCGTTTTCCCCATAATTTTACCCCAGTAGTCCAAATTTTCATTCTTTCATTTCTTCCCCGTGATGAAGGATTTGAAAAATCCTGTAATAAACAGCCTCTGCTAGTGAGCTGCTGAGTATGAACCCCTTGGGGTCACTTCTCTAAAAAATACACCACAGACAGTGGTTCCCAGAACGTGGGTGGGTTTTATACAGAAGTGATATAGTTAAAAAAGAATCAAAGATACAGATCAGCCACTTTACCACAGGAAGCTGCAAAGAAACTGTGAAAACTGTAATAGATTATTAATAAAAATATCAATTACTGAACCCAAACAAAAAAAGCTATGATAAAGTAAATCCCTCCCTACAAAAACACAGTTTATCTTTGTACTTTTGGGGAGGTCTAATTGAAGATTCTATTTTGTTTGAACTCTGACTCTCTTACAGTCTTGAATAATTGATGTATTTTTATGTAAAGGAAAATGACTCTTAGACTCTATTCTTTGCATGGAACAACAAAAATTCTGTACAAAAAGGGCTGTTAGCCCATTTATAAAGTGCGTAAACCAAATTGCAATTACCTACTCCACAATCTGCAGCAGCAAACACAGCTGACACGCTCAAACCCCAGCTGAGCACCTGGCAAACGGCACTGAAGCTTCCCAAAAAACTTCTGCTTTTGTAGCATTTCTCTTATCAAGATGTAGAGGGGAAAAAAACCAAATCCAAAGAGAAGGCACAGCCAGTGAGTGATGAAAGAAGTTGTTTTGCAGATCCTGAACATTTTATTGCCTCCTAGTTTAAAATAGATTTAAATCTGCTTAATGCAGGAGGGAACTATTACAGTTCAAACAGTGATGTGACACATACAGAACTAGTTCCTGCTGCTTTCACAAATTCATCGTGCACTCCTCAGGGCAACGAATTCAGGTGTTGTCCACACACACCACTGCAGTAAACTGACTCCTGTACAGAAGCTTTCAGAGCAGCAGAGCTCAGGAGAGGGAGAAGGCAGAGTGTGGCACAGCAGCACTTGGCTTCAGCAACTTCAATCCAGGACAAGGCATTAATCTGCAGAGTCTTATTAAAAAATGCTAATGAGGACAGTGGTGCTGTGCCTACCTTCTGTAACCTGGAACACAGCTGAAGGAAGATCATTATTTTTATCTCCATTTTACAGGTGGTGGCTGCCAGAGAGAGATGCAGTGACTTGCTCCAGGTGTCCAGACTGCAGAGCCAGGAGCAGCCAGTGAATTTCCCAGTCCCAGCCCAGGGCATGGCAGATTCCATAACAGGTTCAGATTGGCTTTACTAAACTGCACTGTTCTGCCAGGACCTCTTACTGTTAAGTTATTCCACTTCCTTTAAAAAACAAACAGCCTAAAAGCAAACAGTAAGGAAAGAGCAATCACTGGCAGAGTGCTCCCACACCCTGGAGATGCAGGGACTACCCAGGGCTGGGGGCTACAAACACAGTAGGCAGTTCATGAATGTGAACTGCCAGAGATGCTCTCTGTTTAAAACAAACCATTTTTCTTCTTCCATCTGTGTTTTTCTTGTACAATCTCACAATATCAGTTTTATTAAATCTTAGCCAAGCAGAAGAATTCAAGTGCTTTCAGTTTTTATGTATTTTGTCATTCCTCTGTGGCTGAATGAGCAACTCACAGGGGTATATACATTTTTCTAGATGATAATTAAGGGTTTTTTAAAAACAAACCAACATGTCCACATAAAGAGAAATTACAAGTGGTTAAAAACCAGCAGCTGTTAGAAAAGGTGGTGAAGAAAGCAAATTAAACTTTAGCCTGCTAAACTGGTAAGGTAACAAAGAGATTCATCACATCAAAGCCACAACAATACCACTATTCCTCTGCTTCTCACTGCCTACAGAGGGAATCACAGCACACAGCTCTGGCCAGAAAGGCTGTTAGTCCACAAAACTCTGTTCCCAAATAATCATGAAGGCAGGAAATCACCTTATGTTTTCTGCCATCCTTTCTCAGAGCCTGCTCCAGCTGCTGATTGACAGTTGCCAGAATGCACTGCTGCCTGCTGCACACAAACACTAATTGCTAAAACACACACAGATTAATTGTAACCACAACAAGACATTAAATGATCCTCAAAAGCCAAGATTAGAGACAGACAGTGAAATAGATGCTTTAGAGCTTCCAGTATTTATAGCTGATGTAATCTAATCAAATACACATTAAGGCAAAAATAAATATCCACTTAGTCACAGAAGTACTAAAACACTCTGAGCACACCAAAACTCAAAAAATGCACCAAGATCCTCTCCACGGCGCCTCCAAAACCACTTCTCCTTTCTTTAGGATGCAGCTCCTTTTAACGAGATTTAGCCAAAGAATTATATGAATCAAAACTATCCATCACTTCCCAGTAATCCAAACTGTTTACTCCAGTGCTTCGGCAGTATGTAAACCAGGCTTTGGGCAGGGAGCTCCTGCTGCAGTTCCTCACTGCCACGGGGCCTGTGGCAGCCTGAGAGCCCCATCCAACCCCTCCACAGCTCATTTTGCACAGCTCTGGGACAGCCCCTACCACTGCAGGGCTCCAGGAAATCCCGAGCTAAACACGGGATTAATGCTGCTCGGAAAACTGAGCTCATTAGTCTCTTTAGCGAATCATTATTTTGCAGTTATTCTATTACACCAACCTACTTTCCAAAACACAGAAGCTTTAGAAAAGCTTTCTTAGTTTGTTGACTTGGATGAATATCTGAGCATTAGTTTTTATTTTGAAATCAAACACATGGCCCAGTTTTGGAAAACTTTGGCCAAAGTATTTTGGGGCAGCTCTGAAAGCAACAACTAACTGGTGAAGTCTTACCTACCCGTGAAAGCCTCATGGGACAGGGATACAGGAGCCTGACTAGGAGCACCTTCTCACAGAGGTCACCGTCCCAGCTGAGCTCAAAACACAATTCATTCCCAACCATGCTGACCAGGCAGGCTTTAACAGATCCAGGGAGAGGAATAAACTCACACCAATACCACAGGAGCAGTAGCACAATCCCAGCACAGCCAGACTGGCTACTGTGCAACCCCCTCAAAGTCCTATAAACCAAACTCCTGTCACAGGGAGTGTTTTCCAGGTATGGGAGATCCAAGTCGCACTAGTCTAAAAACTCAAGCACCACAGACATCTGGCAGCACTTTGGAAAGGGCTATGGCACAAATAAAGGTGATGCAACTTACCAAAAGTACTCAAATGACATGTTAATGTGGTAATTTATTTCCCAAGATCTAGGAGAGAACTGATAGCAAAAAGCATTAAACCTGCTCCAACAAGTGAACAAAACACAGATGCCATCCCAGAAAAAGCAAGGAAAAGCTTCTCTATTTTAAAGACTCCATTTGCCTACCTTAATTAACTACTTAATACATGAACCAATTCTTTTTCTTGTATTTCTTCTCCCTGCTTCTGTCATTTTTCCTCATTACAGCTTAAACTCAGCTGTTACCAAACTACCTCCTCAGTGTCTGCTCCTCTTGCACCACTTATTTCTCTTGTTTGTACTGTGTTTTAACCTTCTCAGTAAACCCCCACTGGGGTTTCCCAGACTCCCAACGCTATTATTCTCTTTCATAATTTTTTTCTTTACTAATTTTTTCCTCTTTCAACTTTTATTTCTGCTCTCTCATGCAGACAGTTGAGCATCTAGAAATCTGTCGCTGGAGGACTAATCCCATGAGGAGAAAGACCTGAATAAAAGCCATAAAAGGTTACATCTGCTGCCAGAAAATTCAAAGTAGAAATAAGCTTTTTCCCCAAGAACTAAAGGCAACGTTTTGCAGATCACTATTCCTCAATATTGCTGTTTTCATTACAGTCTTGAGGTAGGAGGAGATCCAAGAGGTTTGTCACTTTCTCTTCAAAGTCCTGTTCGTTTGGCAGGACCACAAAGCAGTGATGTTCCTCTCTTGGTTTTCTGAGACTCCAGCATGCTGAGGTCCTTCCAACCTTCCCTCAACCCCTCTGGAATTCCTTGCTGTTTCACACAGCACAAGCCATTCCTCCAGGACACCTTTCTGACCCAGAGGTTATCACTGCTCAGCACATGGAGTAAATTCTTTGCAGGTCCCCACAATCTCCAAAAGACAACAGCAATTCAAGCCACCTCCTGCCACAAAAAGCTCCTTATCCTTTCCCACAGCTCACCTGACCTGCAGGATGCATTTTGGCAGAATTTAAGCCTTTAGGTGCTTCAGCAGAATGAATACCATTGTCCTGCTGGTCTCACCTGCATCCTTTTGACCTAGCATCAGTGTCACCATCAACAAAACCCAGCCAAAGCCTTTTGGCTGCCAGTGGTTTGTGGACACTTGCCAAATGTAGGGGTGACAGTAAGATCCCACAACTACCTGGAGCTAATTAGAGAAACACTGGGTAATCTTATATCCTACTCCTGCTCATAATGCACACTTGACAGTCATAAACAGTGGAACTCCCAGTCTAGTCCACCAAGTATTTTCCCTCCCATTGACAAACATGAAGCAAGTCATTCTGCTTGTTTTCTTTTCAAGACCTCCAAGAACAAGGCACATAAAACCTCACAGGAGATCTCAT